CGCTTACAGTCTCGTAAATCAACGTGATCAGGTTTGTGATTCTTTGCGTAACCATCAAATCGACATTTTTTAGTGCAAGAGACCCTCCTTAAGTCCACGCGCGCGACCCTAATATCGCAAACTATGACATGGTTAGGAACGACCGACTCACCGCTCGCGGTGGCGGTACCGTCATTTATTATAGAAGAGCTCTGGATTGTGTCCCGCTCAAACCTGCCTTGCTCACTAACATAGAAGCATCAGTATGCCGAATCTCACTGACGGGTCATCATATCCGTATATCTTCCACCTGATAAGATCGTACTAAGCAGTGATATTGCTCTATTCCAGCTCTGAGTATCTCTAGAAGCTCTAGTCTAGTCTAAGCTCTGTCATTATGGCGGGTGACCTAAATTGTAAACACAACCGGTGGAACTTGCATACCACAACCCTCAACAGTAGACGCTTCGACGCGTTAGTCGATGATCTCGCCTTCGATATTTTCGCTCCGCTAACTCCGACTCACTGCCCACTAAATATCGCACATCACTCGGGTATACTCGACATATTTCGTAGTTAGTAGTTTCAGAATTAGACTGAGACCACTGTCCTATCGTTTTGTAACTATTCACCATGGGCGTATCGGACAGACTTGTGCTCATCATACGGGAACTTCTTGTCGAACTGCTCTTTACGATATCGAGTCGAAGGAACCCGATCCTCTCCGCGATCTCTCATGGCTGGAGCCCCGCAAAGCTCCGTCCTCTTGCCGCTCGTGTTTAGTTTATTTGTCAACGATATTCCCCGGTCGCCGTCGACCCAGTTAGCCTTATTCGCCGACGACACGACTGTTTACTACTCGAATAAAGACAAGTCCCTAATCGCAAGGAAACTCCAGAGCGCAGCTGTAGCCCTAGGACAGTGGTCTCGAAAATGGCGCATGAATCTAGCGAAAAGCATAACGGTGCTCCTCTGCACTCTGGTGAAACTCCGCACGGATTAGGAGGTAGAATCTGACACTCCCGATCACCCTCTTTGGCCAACCTTGGGCCCGGAAGTTTAAGTACCTGGGTATCACTCTGGATGTATCCATGACATTCCGCCCACATATAAAATGAATCTATAATCTATATAAAATTAATCTCCTGATAAAATTACTGGTGGTAGGACCTCTTGTGAGTCCGCACGAGTAGCTATCACCACCCCGCCTATTTCTGCCGTGAAGCAGTATGCGTTTTGGTTTGAAGGGTGGGGCAGCCGTTGTAACTATACTGAGACCTTAGAACTCATATCTCAAGGTGGATGGTGGCATTTACGTTGTAGATGTCTATGGGCTCCAGTAACCACTTAACACCAGGTGGGCTGTGAGCTCGTCTAACCATATAAGCAAAAAAATTAATTCAAAAAATCTACGATCGTGCCACGTTTGTTCTCGACAGACTCTACCTCATTATCTGTAAGTGGAGTAAAATATCCCTTTGGAACAACGTGACACTTTACAAAACTTGCAGCTGTTCGCAAGTCCCACTCCTCCTGCTGAACCTTTGCTCGCCCACCTATCTTGGTGAAATTGGAGAGGCTTTCGGACCACCAGTAATCCCTTGTTCATACAAAAAAAAACTATGAGAGCATAATAAATTAAATAGTCGTTGAATGATGGGCTATGGCTGATTATTGATTTTTTCATATAAAAAACTGCTATAATTAAACTTCTTCATAAAAAATTATGTAGAATTTCTGGTGCGAAATACTAAACTCCTCTCGCACGTTTCATATTTTACTTCACCGTTTATTATTAAGTAATATAAAAATGAATTGCTTTACGGGATGTGTTTTAACCTGTAGCATTTAACGAGGCCTCCGTCTGTAGCATAGTAGGCGGTTAATAAAGTAATTAAAATAAACTCAATATAAATAATTGAGTAAAGCGAAGGTGATTTTGACTCGTACTCTTACTTGATTGTTGTTTCTTATACTCCGGAGACGTCAATCTTGCTCTTAAATTAACCTAACTTAAAACAAAAATGACGTCAATTCGTGGTGGTTTTATTAAATTTAGGATTTTTATGGGGCATCAAGTAATTTGTCGGCGATATGTCGACGAAATTGTCAGTTTCTTCTTTTGGAATAATGTTACTCATTTATAACTAGTCTGGCCACAAATACTGTTACATAAAAACTTTTCATTTTATAAACTTTTTAATTATTTTGGATTTGGAACACGTACTTATATTATTTTAAAAACTGCTTTCGATTTTGCGCCATTTCACATATTTTTTCGTGTTCATTATCAAATTACAATATGGAATGGGGTGTTAAAGAAAATAGAATTGCGGTGATCACCTTACGCAAATTGGGTATGAAGTTGTCGGTTATATTCCAGACATTTCAAAAGCATGATATCAGCCGTACGCTCGTATATCGTACTATCAACAGATACAACAACACTTTGTTTGTTGAAGACCAGAAAAGGTCGGGACGGCCGCGTGCTGTTAGAACTATAAAGGCTCTTAATGCTGTTGAAGCCAGAATTCTTCGAAACCCCATTAGGAAGCAAAAAATCTTATCGCGAGATATGAAGATTCCCGCTAGGACTCTGTCGCGTATTATAAAACAAGACCCTAAGCCCAGCGTTTATCGAAATACAGGACATGCCCTAAATCAACCTTTATAATTAAAGAGAGTAGATCGATTGAAACGTCTTGTATCGCGATACGCAGGTGAAAGACACAAATATATCCTCTTTACCGTTGAAAAAGATTTTCACGATTGAAGAACACTACAATAAGCAAAATGAGAAAGTGTAAGCTCACAGTTCTAAAGTAGCTGCTCAAGTGGTTGCAAAGGTACAACGTGGTCATCATCCCNAAATCAACCTTTATAATTAAAGAGAGTAGATCGATTGAAACGTCTTGTATCGCGATACGCAGGTGAAAGACACAAATATATCCTCTTTACCGTTGAAAAAGATTTTCACGATTGAAGAACACTACAATAAGCAAAATGAGAAAGTGTAAGCTCACAGTTCTAAAGTAGCTGCTCAAGTGGTTGCAAAGGTACAACGTGGTCATCATCCCGCGTCAGTGATGGTTTGTGGGGCGTGTCTTATCAAGGAGTTGCAAAACCACATTTTTGTGAAAAAGAGTGAAAACTTCAGCCAAAGTTTATCAAGATACAGTCCTGGGTCATGTTGTGGAACCTCTCAGCAATACACTTTTTAAAAACATACCGTGAACTTTCCAGCAGGACTCTGCATCTGGTCACAAGGCACGAACTACCCAAGCCTGGCTTGAAACCAACGCTCCGAATTTATAAGAGCTGAAGACTTGTAGAGTTCTCGTGTCGACTATAAAAACGTTGCAGATGACACGAAAGCAGTTAGTAATCGAATCTACTCGAAGCGAAACAGCGAACGGATCACCTGAAACGAAGCGAAAGAAGTGAGTTGAGAATTTTAAAGTTTTAATATGTGCTTCGGTGGAAGTTTTATTTATACCGAACCCCAGCGCGTAACAATATTTATAGATGAAATGATAGAAGTAGTTTTATTGATGTGTACGACTCGAGAAAATCGAAGAAAATAAAATATAGATTGGTTTGTTTTTTTGTATTGCTTAGGTTATGCAACGAGCTCACGGCCGAACTAGTATTAAGTAGTCACCGGAGCCTATAGACAACAACGGAAATACCCCCAATCACTTTGAGATATGACTTCCGTTTCTGTAGTAAAAAAGATGCCCTTTGAATCGAAAGGCACTACTGCTTCGCGGCAGGAAGGTTCACAAGACGTCCCACCACTTGCAATTATGCAAGTTATAATTTTTACGAGTTTGATTGAAGAGGCAGTGGACAGGGCACATTGCTCGTAGAACGGATGGTCGTTAGGACCAGAAAGTACTTGAGTGGCGACCGCGTACCGGAAGACGTAGCATGGGTAGGCCTCCTACAAGAGGGGCCGACGACCTATTGAGGTTCACGGGGATCCAGTCGATGCAGGCAGCGCGGGACCGGTCTTTGTAGCGAGGCGTGGGGGAGGCCTATGTCTGGCAGTGGTCGTCTGTGGGCTGATGAGAAGATCTTTATTACAGATCTTATTATCATGTTAATACATTACCGTGGAAGATTCGTAAACACGAGAAGTCCATATTTTATTACAAAATTTAGTAATGGAGTGCGTAATTCAAAGACAAAGACATTATAGTACATTGTATAATTCAAACATCAGTACAGAGTGTAAATTGTTACGATTATAACGGACGTTTTATCCTTTGGGCTACGACGACTTGATTTTGTTCTTTCATTTTGTATACATGTATATTGTATTGTATACATGTATATTGTATGTATTCCATATAATAATATTCTAGCGTCATTTATCCGAATAAGCAGAAAATTGTTTAGTTTTCATTTTAAACTGAGCTTCACTTCTCAACGATAATGAGAATAAAAAATGACTCTATTTAACATAATGTACGTATGATTCAGTTTGTTTAAATAATCTGTGATGTCGGAAACCAAACTACCAAACACAAAATCATATTTTAACAATTAGTGTTATCTAGTGTTCTCTGTGCCGAAGTTCCTAAAATAGATTCTTAAAGACTTTAAAATGTCAATGTAAGCTTCGTTTTTCAACCTTGATTTTTGACCCCTTTGAAACTTGTCAGTAAATATAAATAAATAAAAACAATACATTAGCCGGAGATGCGGCAGCTGTTTTACAATAAATTGTACATTTTATTCGATGCAATCTGAAAATCACTGCAATTGTTTTGCACTTACGGACTACGTTTAGTAAACAAAATGTTTTTTGCTTATTCTTTTCGGAAATTATTGTTGAATTTCGTCGATTTAATGCATTTGTGGATTGCCAAGATGTATTCTGAAGCTTCGAGTGAATATCTGATTTTACCATCTACGCGAAAACGGGGTAATAAATAATAATGCGCATGTGTTCTAATTTCGGACTATGCTTGTACGCGTGAATGCGTCGGAGCAGAGCATAGCCGTCGGTGCTTTTCGGTACAGTAGAATCTGATAGTTGCGTAGCACCACACGCACGCGAGTTACGTGTGACACGAGCTTATATCTCGCGAGTTTCTCGGCAATTCAAAGACATCATTTTTCAAATGTACGTGATTATTTAATTGATTCACACTTTTTTGTTTGTGAAAATTAGAAAGAGTTTTTTTGTGGTGTGGTAAGGTATTTTTGTGAGTGTCTCTGGTTGTCTTTACGTCCAACAATATTGAAAGTTGTTAATCTAAAATATGCCTCACATTATAGCTTACATCTCAATATCCATACTCGATTTAATAACATTTACATATTGAATTGATTTTAATACTATACTCAGGTAAATTACGAGTCCTCAGATTAATCTAGAACCACTTATTGTCTGTTAAGTAAGTAAATGTGAGTAATATTCTGTACGTAATGCAGAATACGTTAATGCTGGTTGATGTAACTGCGTAAGCTAATTGAAATATTTTGAAACATGTTTTCTGTCCCTTTTGAAACTGTAATTACAAGTACATGCGTTAAATTATGCTTTGTATGCCTTGAAAGGATTTTTTTCCAAGAATGTGTAAGCAAAATAAAATTACTAAACAATAAAAATTCAGTTTATACACCGCACTCTGACTTACAAAAGAACAATAACTCAGTAAAAACAATCGAAACAATTTTTTTATGAAAGACCATGGCAGAAAAGAACAGCGACCATATATAATACCTTCAACTGAAAGAGTAAAGCTTATAAAGCTTCATGTAATTCAAAAGTTATAAGCGTGAAAAGAAATGGAATAATAAACATTATTTTGTAAACTTTTCAGGAAACACTAAGAGAAAGAAAAAATGAGTTCCTTTATATGTAATTGAAGCATTTCAAACAACATCATTCTTTTCATTATTTTCCTCGTGAAGCTGAATTTTTTAAAGACGGTCTCATTTCAATAAACCGAAAACATCGCGATTAAAGCAAAGAAACAAACAAACCCAAAATGAATCGTTTGAAAATAACAACAAACTCAATCAGCAATCTTTTTACAACATAAAATTTTCACAAACATTTCTCATTTTATATTACTATATTATATTTGATCCAACAAATGATGTTAATGAATAGTACTAAGGTTTATTTCTAAAGACAGAAACAAAATCTAAATTTACTTTAAAGCCCAGACTATGAACTCAGAATTAGATACGATTTGGGTCTATGCCAGTTTTCTGATTCCGTCATCGATATTGATTTCCAGTGAATATTGACGTTTAATAATAAACTATTCCTCTGAGGTGTACCTTCAAGTCTAATATCAATTCATCGAGAAACTTGTATAAATAAACAACGCCTACGAAAAAAAATAACACATTTTAAACATTGAGTAACAAATACATAATAATATCTATATTTTAAAAGTCAAACATAGTATGGATACGAACCATTACTTTTTTTTTTATTAAGCTTTTAATAGTTAATTAGTGTTGACAAATATATATATCTTTATTCGTCTTGTGTTTGTCACATCACATCAAAAATCGATACAACAATTCAGAAATTTACGCTGGTACTCGCAAAGCAGTATTCTTTACAGGAAAATGATAACGGAGTTCTTGTGGCCTCATCTGGGCATCTCATAGATCCGTACGACACGTGATTTCAACAGGACATCGTAATCTGTCACACTGTGCATGAAACAATCTATATGATCAATCAATTGCGATTTATTTCTATGGGATTTTATAAATCAGGCTTATGCGAATAAAACGGGAACAATTACTGAGTTTAAAGTTCAAGCCCCAATACGTCATAGATGAGATACAAGTTATTTAAAATTTCATAAAAGCATCAAAGCCGCGGTGGGCATTTATCTGATATTTTATTACATACTTATGTACATAAATGGAACATGTTTACATTATATTGCAATTAAAAAAAAAAGTTTTATTTTTTAATGAAAAGTTTGAGACGGCCTGGATACTGGGTGGTAATGATACCTTGATAAATGATAGTTTAAGTAGTAATTAATTCAACTAGTCGAAAACTGACCAGCTATTCGACGACCACAAAAACTGCAAGGTATTCGAAACGTCGCAAATATTATTCCACCAAATAAAAATATGTTCGCGTTCATTAACCCAAAATACGTTCGAGACAAGAATAAGTACAACCAGATCCCGATTCAATTTCCGTAGTACAATAGAGTTTATAGGTATTTTAAAATAACAACGTGATCTTACACAACATTCTTTTTTCAAACAATGAAATGGTTTTTTAAAAAATGTATCACTGATCCTCTAACGATTGTTTATTGATCCCGGTGACCTCTCACGGCCGGCATCCCGGAAAGCTTCATCCTCTCTCCCCTCCTCTTTAGTTTGTTTACTAACGGCATTCTCCAGTCGCCGCTGACCCGACTAGCCATATTTTCTGACGACACGAGCATTTACTACTCGAGTAGAAACAAGTCCCTAATCGCGAGACAACTCCAGAGCGCAGCCTGTAACATCAACATGTTTGAAAGGGCAAATTCATAATAATCGCCTTATCGTTGCCGCCGCTGACTACTCCCTGAATCCTGATCACGCAGGAGCCAGTCACCGTCGATGCCACGTCCTTACGGATCCATCAGATCCAGTAACCCTGGCTTCTACGCCTTTAATCAGTCCAGTAGTTCAGGAGAAATGTGTGAATAAAAAATATATTTATTACTTGCTCTTCTTTAGTTGTCCTTTTTATGTATGTAAATATTAATGCTTATATGAGCCGAGCCAGTGGGTCACCTGATGCTAGTTACCGAAGCCAACGTAAGCTGCTTGAGACTCGAGTTTTAAGGCTCAGTTTTATAGTAAAAAGGGCTAATCCACCCTTCAAACAGAAACGCATTACTGCTTCACGGCAGAAATAGGCGGGGTGGTTGTACTTAGATCTGCCGGCTCACAAGACGCCGTGACAAGATATGTATTTTTATTTAATGTAAAATAGACACTTCGTTTTCCGTAGTTTTGTATTCATTTCGTTTCATTTTCTTTTAAAATACTTTCAAATCAAAGTTGCTTCTATTAGGACTGATTTTTAATTAAATGAAACTTATTATATACAAGCTACTTTAAAAACCTGATTGGATATACTCGTATTATAAAAATACAAACACTGAAGTATTTATTTTCAACAATGTCCGTTTTATTTGTATTTCATTTTATCTTGTGAATAATTTGTACAATAATTGAAAATTAATAATGAATATTTATCCTTTAGTCAGACAATCGACATTAGTCGAAGTTGATTTCAATCTAATTAATCTACTGTAGAATTTGTGTATACTAGGCTGCACTAAAAGTATCGGGAATGGAATATTTCCACTGTTCCTGTCATATTAAAATCTTTTTAATTGAAAACTCCTTGGTTTTAAAAATCGAATACCATTTATTTATTTAAAAAAAGATTCTCGGTCTTGTCACGAGGTTTTGTCAAACTTGTTTAGTCGTTGAGAAAATGGAATTGACTCGAGAAAATTCAAGAGCGATGATTTATTATGACTTTCGAAGTGGTTTAACACAAAAACAGTGTGTTGACCGGATGATTTCTGCATTTGGTGATGAAGCCCCATCCAAAACCACAATTTATCGCTGGTTTGCTGAGTTTCAACGTGGACGTGTCAAGCTCAGTGATGATCCCCGTCAAGGTCGTCCAAAAACTGCAGTCACCCAAGAAAACGTTGATGCTGTGCGTAAGCTGATTGAGGAAGATCGACATGTGACATACCGCGAAATTCAGGCAACTTTAGACATTGGCATGAGTCAAATACAAATAATCTTGCATGAACAATTAGGTGTAAAAAAGTTGTTTTCCCGATGGATACCGCATTCGCTCTGTGAAGAGCAAAAAGCGGCTCGCGTTACTTGGTGCGTCAGAACTCTCGAAAGATTCCACGCAGGATCCTCAAATGCTGTATACAACATTGTATCAGGTGACGAATCCTGGATATACGCGTACGAACCCGAAACAAAAAACCAGTCACGAGTTTGGGTGTTCGAAAATGAGTTAAAGCCAACAAAAATTGTTCGTTCACGGAGTGTTGCAAAAAAAATGGTGGCCACGTTTGTCTCCAAAACCGGCCATGTTACGACTATTCCTCTTGAGGGACAAAGAACGGTTAATGCAGAATGGTATGCTAGCATTTGTTTGCCACAGGTCGTTTCTGAACTCCGTAAAGAGAACTGCAACCGCCGCATCATCCTCCATCACGACAATGCGAGTTCTCACACCGCGCACAGAACAAAAGAGTTTTTAGAGCAAGAAAACATAGAATTATTAGACCATCCGCCGTACAGCCCCGACCTAAGCCCTAATGATTTCTATACTTTCCCTAAAATAAAGAATAAATTGCGTGGACAGAGATTTTCATCACCTGAAGAAGCTGTGGACGCCTACAAAACGGCCATTTTGGAGACCCCAACTTCCGAATGGAATGGTTGCTTCAATGATTGGTTCCATCGTATGGAAAAATTTGTCAAATTTCGCGGAGAATACTTCGAAAAGCAATAAATACATTTTTAAATAGTAATGTTGTGTCACTTCGTTAATTACCGAAATTTTCAGTGCCGCCCTCGTAGTTCTGATAATTTTTGGGTGGGTTAAAGTATACGGTACTGATTACATTTTGCTGTAACACGAACGCTGTATCATGACGCTGCTAAAACCTGCGTTTGTTTTCAGTGAATCTTTGAGTGGATGACTTATAGAAAAATATCTTGAACACAATTTTACTTTTATTTCTACTATGTTTAAAATTTCAAATTATTTTACTAGCAGTCACAACCCATTATGATTCTACGACGAATCTAACTATTCCGGGCTTGAAAAAGCCTTTGTTTCAGTACCAGTGAGATATTGCTCAATTAATGAAATATCACATCACATGTAAATCTCTATGAGCTCCGCTCAAGAACAGGCATCAAGTGACTTAATCCATCAAAAATAATACACACAAGACGTCTGAAAGCCCCCATAATACGACAACCTCACAGCGATCGTTATCAGAAAGACTATTAAATTTATGGGAGCTCAAATAAAATCTTTTCGCGTTTGGTATTCTTGTAACAAATCGTTCGGGTAATGGTTACAACCATTTGAATGACGGTCACATTTCGATCGTATGTTAAATCGAGGATCGCCCACACGTCATCTATCAAAATTCATATAAATCTGGCAATGGCGGGTTTTAGGTCGGCCGGCGCACGGAGACCGTTCGTTTAAAAATAAACTTGCGTCCGAACTGGGCCCGCCCGCTGTGCTCGCCACAGAACGATTCGCGACATTTACATCCACTGCACTTTCTATTTACAGCACAACACCCGGGCATCAAACAAGTTTTTTTTTATCTATTACAGTCATGATCAAAACATTTTTTTTCTCCTTGATTTAGGTTTATAACAGATTTAATTCCGAAAAGTGTATTAAAATACCCCTTAAATGCTAATAATCTCCAATTCAGTTTTTAGTATATTTATTATCGTTTTTTGTATACCGTACATTTTAAAAACTGTTATAAATTAATATTATTTTATGTTCTATTGAAATGTTCGCTGTTTTCAATTCCAAGTGCTGTATTTGTCTTTTATTAGATATATGTCTTTGTTCATATAATCGCAAATTGTTGTCGTTGTGTATATTTAAAAACAATCAAAATCATGAGCTTATTTTGTCGTGAAAACATAGCTTATGAATAATTTAATTAGGAATCTGGAATACAGTAAGTAAGAAAAATAAGTAAGGGTCATTTGAAATCTTAAATAGGCAATAAACTGATGCAAAGGAAGTAACCCTTTACCCTCTTAGCTTGGCACTCTTGACATTTATTAAAGTAATTTGGCACAGGTTGAATAGTGCATCTACAATCTAGATACTTTTTATTTGGAATGAAGGCATTGTCATATACAAGAGGCCTTTCCATCTATCTACGGGTTAAGTTTCACGTAGACGAGTTAAACGAGCAAGGTATTTTGTATTTTGTCTGCTGTGATCGATCAGTTTCAATCAATTGTACTTTTCATCAAACTGCCTTTCACCTTTCATATANTGGCACAGGTTGAATAGTGCATCTACAATCTAGATACTTTTTATTTGGAATGAAGGCATTGTCATATACAAGAGGCCTTTCCATCTATCTACGGGTTAAGTTTCACGTAGACGAGTTAAACGAGCAAGGTATTTTGTATTTTGTCTGCTGTGATCGATCAGTTTCAATCAATTGTACTTTTCATCAAACTGCCTTTCACCTTTCATATATAAAAGCAGAGACAAACTAGTTACGTACCATTGTCTCCTCTGAGTGTCAACCGATTTTTTTGTTGTTTACATTTTTCACCAACCATTGTCTCTTCTGAGTGTCAACCGATATTTTTGTTGTTTACATTTTTTGCAACTGATCTTTTTTGTTCAAAATGTTCACTGTCAGAGGTTATGGTGGAATTTCAACTTATAAATAAACATTCACATCACATCGCACTATACACAACACATCATCATCCGATAGCTATTTAATAGACTGTCCACCTCTGGACTTAGGTATTACTAATATAAAACTACTTTTAAAAAAATATTTTTTTTTAATTTAATTCACCCGCTATAAATACCATCTTATGCTTTATCAAAATACATTTATTACGTTTCGAGATGATAATGACAAAAGCAATATAGCGGTTAGCAGTATACATCGCAGCTACGCCACTTTGATTTTCGAATAAATAACAAATTTTCTGATTTTAAATGTATATTTCTTTTACAGAAGTGTAATAAAGAGATTAATTTTGTTGACAGTGTCGTGCTCGGAGCAGTAAGTGGGAATTATGGTTGCCGGGGACGTAACTCGGCGAGCGTCGATCACGGCGCCGTCGATGCATCGTCGGCCTTCAGCACGTCGAGGCTCCCTGATTAAAGGCCCATCGAACCCGTCTCAGGTAAGATAAGGCATATTTTTTTATGATCACACAGCCCATAAAATTATTCGCCATAACACTTTTGGATCTGTTAATGAATTTGTTTAACTTAATTCTCTAATAATGACGTAACAGCAGAAATAGTTAATAAAAAAATACTGTCAGCGAATAAATACTACTTCAGCCTGCTTAAATATTTCTGTTCCAAAATTCTGTCACGAAATATCAAAATTATTCTTTATAAAAACCTACCGACACCCATTCTTACTTATGGCTCAGAGACATGGGTACTCAGCAAAAAGGATGAGAACCGTCTACTTGTATTCGTGCGTAAGATTCTAAGGCGGATATTCAGTGCTGTGCAGGAAAACGATATATGGAGGACACTCTATAACCACGAGCTGTATGATATTTACATAGATCCTAATATCGTAAAAACTATAAAAATTGGACGCCTACGATGGGCAGGATATGTAGTTCGAAATGAGGAAACCAAATTTCCAAGACAGCTACTATATGATAAACCAGGGGACAGCAGAAGTCGTGGCAGGCCCAAACTCTGATGGTTAGATGGCGGTAAGCAGGACTTCAAAGTTGTCGGTGTTAAAAACTGGAAGGAGAAAGCCCTGAACAGAGCAGTCTAGAGAGACATACTGGACCGGGTTAAGGGCCAGCCTGGGATGTAAGGCCTAAAATCAAGACGATGATGAGTCGATATTTTTGGTAACATAAAAAACTCCTTCAAATACTGCCGAATCTTTATAGAGCACAATCACTAATTACGAAATTTCCTTAGTCACTGAGGTATGAACTCCCTGAGACATGGAACCAAACGCAAAAAAAAATTACGGCGACGATGCTTGCCTTAACATTTATGTGCAAACATTTCACATAGGTAAACGTATTTTTAAATTGAAACGTTTATTAAAACCTTATTTATAAAACCTTTAAACCTTATTTTTATTAAAACCTTATTTATAAAACCTTTAAACCTTATTTTTATTAAAACCTTATTTATAAAACCTTTAAACCTTATTTTTATTAAAACCTCATTTATAAAACCTTTAAAACCTTATTTTTATTAAAACCTGAAACATTTTATAGCATATTTATATTACTCCACCGAGGATCACTAGATAAAATAATACTTTGCAAATGTTACATGATATTTTTTGTTTCTATTTCCGAAGATATTTTCAAATGGAGCTCGGGTAAAAAAATTATATGATTCAATTTTTACAATTCTTCGAAATTATTTTAACTGAACAATGAAATGTCTTTCAAGGGATTTAGATATTTTTCCAGTATCTAAAATGTTTCTTGTGAAAATCTTAAATCAGCCCAGCGTGTGTAACACAAATATGTTTATTGTTTTAAATTTTATCATGTCGATTCTGGCGCTCGGATGAGAAAACGAAAATAACTTGAGTTTGCAAGAGAAATAAGTAGATTAATAAAAGCATTTGTATTTGAGCACACATCTAATAAAAATGAAAAAAACATTTTACAAACTGAAAAGTACTGGAATTTTTCGACGTCTATCTATTAACCTCTTTTTGTGAGACGCCTCGACTAAAACTAGATTAAAATAACACTTAGGCAAACATTATGGTACAGTTTTTAAAATTAGCGGTCTCATGGCAGTTATACATGTAATTACTTAGATATAAACTTAAGTACGTTCATAATTAAAGATTATTTTTTCGAAATAGGACACTTTGTTGCATTCCAAAAATAACTACACTATAAAATATATTACTCGGTGCTCATATCACTAAAAGCTATCTCTTTCTGGCAACCACTATAGCGAATGTCATAATTCATAAGACAATACAGAATATATATATTATGTTGTAGTATTACATAGTCCTATTTTTTTTCATTGAGAAATGATAAGAAGTAAATGATACGTGCCCTAAATGATACACGAAAAGCATATATGACGGAGAGGTTGGTTCCATTATGTTTTAAAATGATAACGTCAGCGTTGCTGACGCCGTTCTCTTCATGATTACCATTGCCTTCCATAGTGACAGTAAGTAGTATTCACTTTTCCAATGAGTTCCATTTATTTAAAGTGTATAACAATAATAGCAGAGAGCTCCGCCTCGTTCGACTGCTCGAGCCGGAATGTTTTGTACATACAATTGACACTCGTATTAATAGTAGAAAGTGGGGATAGCTTAGACATGAATTCTCTTGAATACAGTCTTAAACAGTTGTTGACATGCGTAACATTAAGGAAAAAGTTAACTTTGACTATTTTTAGTTAACTAAACTGTGACGCTGCAACGTATACTTATATAATAACAATATAAATTTAAACAATACAATATACACAACACAACTCCTGCAAAAAGAAACCAAAGGAGTAATGAACAGCAATAGGCAAGTAAGGTTTCTTCTAGATTCTTTTGAAAGAAGATTGTTAAGTACATTCATAGACTGCTATTACAAAAAGTCAAGCTAAATAAACACACATAAGTATCTTAAATGAAATCTAAACATTATTTACGATAAGAGGGAGTATAATTCGTAGCCAGTCGAGCTAAGTATTGAATTTTGATACAAGTACATGTATGTATATAAATTGAAAACTTGTGCAAATAATTATAAGCAATTTTTCTAAATGCTTGTGTTTTATCAAGATAAACATCGGTACGTACTAGGATACGGGTACTGTGATGAAGCTGTGCTTTCAGTCTTTTCGTTAGCAAACATTTACGCGTCTCTTGTATAGTCCTATGGATCCTGTGTATGTAAACATCTATCAGTAATTAGACAATTTGTTAATAAGCACGATTCTAGTTATGGCTGAAGTTAAGTCAGAAATGTATAAACTTGTGACGGTTGTCAAAATATTTAAGTAATGAGGTGTTGTTTTCAGTTCTGTAGATGACGTAGTGTCACACATACTAAATATCTTTGACTATCTGAAAACTTTATTTAATAATAATAGGAATGATCCGGGTGATTAGTTCTATTAGCTAAAATCGTAACCACAACCGTAGTGTCTCGATCCCTGAAACAGATCAGTCATTTTATTTAAACATATCTGTATATAAAAGTGGGGCTTACCCAATGGTCTAAGATAGCATTATAATGTGCGGTCAATAAATTGCCAGAACACCGGAACATTTTACTACATGGCGGACGATATTTCATCTATTTCCTGTGATAAGGGAAAATATTCAACAACAAAACATACATAATAAAAATATAAGCGTAAATCAAACTTTTTTATTCTTCAATTTCATTGAAAAATTGATTTACGATGAGATCGTGCTATTATGTTGAGGACAATACCTTTCCTTTCAATACGAAAAGATATTACGGTCTGCCTATTTCTTTATTTATTTATTTAATCAACAATGTTTCAACAGCATTTAACTAGACACAAGGTACAGAGGATGTTTTCACAAACATGAGCCAATTAGAGAAACACATTATGTTTCCAAAAAATGTTAACATGATTAATGAACACAGGTAGTCCAACTAAGGTAAAGGTAAGGCAGTTAAATAGGTAGATACATTTTGTCAAATGATAACTTGCAGAATAAGTTTGAATCTGATTGTGTTGTGTCGATGTGTGTAAGTGCGTGTGAGTGTATAAAGTGGTTGGTTTACATGGACGCTCGAATTGATTATGAACGTTGATTGTTAATTGTAGAACACCCAATTTATTTATTATAATTTATGTTTACGCCAGATTTATAAGCAGTGATACTGCAATATTTTTATGGGTTAAAATACTCGTAGATTCAGGGATAAAATTTAGGAATTATAGCATGTTTTTGAAGTTTTGCGTGAGACGTTTAGACGAAAATTTTAGGATTTAACGATTTTAAGATAGTTCATTTTGGTGAAACGTATATAGAGCGTAATTCACAATTCAAAATAAAAAATATATATTAAATTCTCCCGATACATACAGGTCCAATATTTTAAGTTAATTCATTAAAGTCTTTTATAAATCTTTAAGTTCGCCATTATATGTACTTACTTAATCAACACTTAATCATTACTTAATCAAATGTTAAGTTTGCTTATGACACTTAATAAGGATCAAGCATCACGGCATCACGAAATAAGAAATCACAAGCATATTACAAGCACAAGTTTAGGTTTTTTTTATTTTCGTTCGTTGACAAAAGAGCTCACGCTCCGCCTAATAAAAATCGATCCCATCACTGCTAACGTACACGTAACTTAAATGCTCACCTTAACACCTTGGCTGCGGTAAGTAAAATCATAAAACTTCATCTGGAGTGGCGCCGGGTCAAAATGCGCCCCCGTCGATATTTCCACAAAGGCGGGGAAGGTTTTTCTCGAAGCACCATCACTAGGGTAGATTCAAATGCTATAAGTTTGCGAGTACATACTGTATACAATTTATAGTATATAGTTGTCGATGTCGAACTCTTACAAACACTTGTAATAAATCGGTCCGCACAGCGAGAGAGACAGTCTTCTTCATCCGCACTAGCTGAAAATACCGCGGCGGGCCAATATGGGCATGTCCCGCAGTAAACATGTTAAGCTGAAGTTTTAGTTATATTTTAATGTCAACTATTGCGCTCTTCAGACCTAATTATTAACTTCTTCCTGGATAAAAATAAGCAAAACTGCGGTGGCGATGCGTACGGAAACCCAACACTTCGGTCAAGACATAAATTAGTACAAAAAAAAACAAAGTTAAAATAACTATGAAATACGACCTAGTATTGGTACATGATTTGGAAAAAATCTAGTAGTCATAGACAAAGTTGGGTTCCTATACTCATGGGACTGTGTATTATTTTATAAAGAGAATCAGAAAAAAATTCAATAAAACATTATAAAGAACTCCAACTATTTCAAAAATATGTACTTTTGACGATTACTTTAATCTTGATTGTTGAACAGGAAGTTCCATGGGATATCATCGACCGCTGTGCACTGCCCATTGTCTTATGCCACGCCCTCGCCGTCGTACTCTCCACGATCCTGAACTCCCTGCATATCAGTCAAGTGTCGGTCTTCACGCTATTCTTATGGTTTGCAATTTCCGTAACTGGATCCTTGTGGTTCTACCATAATTTACAGGTACGTAACTTCAATAAATTATTAATTTTCTGATTAACTTACTGTACTGTAATTAAAGGATTTTCATTCTGCAGCCAGCAATGGAATGAACAGCTATTATGTTACTATATATGTAATTGATTAAAACGGAACTGTTTTGATCTTCCATGTTCTTCTGTCCGTACGTCAAAGTATTTTTAGTCAGAGACCGTTGTCGTATAAATCACAGTATATACGCTACGGCTTACCGTCTATAAGCCTATATGTTCAAATGTTTAACCACAAAACTTTCGTTTCACGTCGTCATGGTGTCTGCTAAATACGACGACGCAGCGACATTGATAAGACATACGTTCATCTTCAAAAACATTTATAGCGAAATACTTCAAGAAAGATATATAAAAAATAAAGAAAAGTGACAGATATGTATTTCAATTTTAAATACATATCTGTCACGTCTGCCATTCGCATTTTTTATTTTTTTATTTTGTATAGGTGCTGTTGTGGTAGACCAGAACACGGCCCATTTAGTGCTAAGTGTTTACTGGGGCCCATAGACATAAACAACATAATTGCCACCACTAACCATGAAACATGAGTTCTGAGTCTCAGTTTTAAACTATAACTTATACAAGGGCTACCCCACACTTCTACCATGCCCCACCACCAGACCCAAGTGGATCACGTCATTGACGTTGTGATATCTACGGGCTCCGGTAACCACTTTACTACACCAAATAATAAAATGGAAACGATAACTAAATAGAACCTCTCGCCCTTGCATAAGCCTTCAGCTCTAACGCTAGGAGAAGGCTTACGGACCCTGGTAACCGTATTCGTCGAACTTTACAAAGAGTTCGACGTGCAACGTAACCCATGCATTAGCCCGCTGAGTTTTTCGCCGGATCTTCTAAACGGGTCGCGATTCCGATCCGGTTGTAGATTGATTCGCGAAACAGTTGCTCTTGAGTTGTTAGGTCTCCTTTGGAGGCGCTCGGGCAGCTGTTAGTAAGTCCCACCTATCCTGGTGAAACTGGAAAGGCCACTGGGCCACCAGTAATCAATCATTAATAAAAAAAAGAACCTGTCACACACACCGGCATTTTACCTATTAGCCGAGGATCACTTCAACGGCCTTGCTCTTAATTCTTAAGTAGATAATGGCAATTATAAATAACTAACATTAATCAATACCGTATTTATAGACAGTTGAGTTACAAAAAATAGTTAGCTACCGGGAAAATAGTAGTGATACAAAAATTCATCATGCGAACGCACACGTATCGATTATGTTTGAGAATTCTTTGATTTTTCAGTAATATATTTATTCATAAAACCTCTAACAATCAAAACGATAAAGAAGGTCTTAAGCAGTGATCACCATTTTAGTATAAAATAACACTTAAATCTTTATTGCGAACAATAAATTCTCTTTCTGTTTTAAAACTACACGCGATCTCGTATATCTTGAGCTCTGCAATCGTAAATGAGGTGTTTAATTTGACGCTCACGTGTTCCCGAACATATTACCATATGTAATAAATGACTTCAATACAAAAATTGCACCTGTACATTTATATATGTTCGCCACTGAAAATTTACATGTGAAGCGGGTTCATAATGTCAGATTCAATAAAGAAAGCGCCCGGAGAACCTTATTAGTCACATGAATATTCATAAACAGGTCCAGAATTCCCTCGTGCAACAATTTCAACTCTAACGTATGTGTTGTTTCCGATTTGGTAACTTCTGGGTAACGGTTAATGCTTTGGACTTTCGCTTGATTGCGCAGCCGCGTGCTATCATCCTTACATTTAGATAATTTTTTTATGTTTACTTATGTGCGGTAGGCAACGGCTTGGCTCTGCCCCTGGCATTGCTGAAGTCCATGGGCGACGGTAACCACTCACCATCAGGTGGGCCGTATGCTCGTCTGCCTACAAGGGCAATAAAAAAAAAAAAACTGAAATATCGGGAAACATTATATACCACCATAATCCTATAAATTTGTCAGTTTTATTGAAAAGTCATGATATGTATCGCTTTGTATAAAATGAAAACACAATTCGTATCGAATAAATTTTCCTTAAAGAAAGACGTTAACGCCCACGCTATCTCTTTAACTGATAGCTTACGTGAAGCTACTCCCACTACGTCAAGACTAAATGCCAAAACAACCTTAAGATTATACACATTACAGGCAGTTTTTTTACAACACAAAAGTTTCTACATCTGACAATATACATAACAGTGTCCTCGTTTTATGGTAAAATAGTAAATTTAGCAATTCTGAAATATGCATAAAAACATTTATAATTTACTTTAGTTCTACAAGAATTAACAAATTGAAAAATAATTTAATGATCAATTTTAGTGTAAATTATCATTGTTGTAATATTATTATTATATATTATATATTTACTTATTTTGTAGTTTCGGTGCTCGGATAAAGAGTCGTATAAAAACTATATTTCTAGCTTCGTCTCCAAGGTGTAATTCGCCGTTGTGTAACTCGCCCTAATAGTTAGAAGGCTAAAACATAGTAACGCCCATAATTCTGCGTGAAATCTTAGTTACGACTTTCGAGTCATAGCCGGGTCTGGCGCTTGGAAACCATTATTTAGCTACGGATGACAAGTGCGTAGGTGGGCAAATACGTTAAGAACTTTGTCTGAGCATTTTATGGTTACTCTATTTTTCTGGATGACTATTGTCGGAAAGCATGAAGATATGTCATTTACTGTCTCTTGCTTATAACAATGAAACATGATTTACCATGACATGAACTTAAGAATTAAATTAAAATCACTTTAAGTTTCTTCTTTAAATCGCTTACTAATTCTATTGCTTTGTTATATATCTTATACCTTTAAACGAGCAATCCTTGTATATGAGTCGTCTATTATCAAAGGTGGCAATTGTGCATTTGGACAAAAAAAAAAAAAAAAATTTCAATACAGATTGATTTGAGTATAATCGTCTCCTTCAAAGAATACGGTTCAAAACCTGCATTAAATAAAGGTTAATACTTAACCTGTTATTTATCTAAGATGTCGTTCAGAAGAGTTTTGTGACTGACTGCCAATGGAATACAAAGTCAATAATTCGTTTTTCTGATTTACCAATAATTATCCAAAAGTCACATTGCCGGCTTTGATAATAGTCGACTCATATATAATTATATACTATTATATATATAGCAATAATACTATTTTTCGAATAATAATGCTATTTTTCTTAATTGAGGGCAACTAACCGCTTTAAAGGCACAACAAGATGACGTTATCAAAAAAAAAACCGAGCAAGTTTTTATTAAAAATCAACACTTGTAAAGCTTGACTGTCTGCTAGGATAAACCAATTATGAACGTTAATATAAATAAATTTAATATTTTCTTTGTATTCCGCGAGTTGTAGATTTACTTAAAATTACTTTTACAGTTTAATCTCAAGTTTTGTTTGTCATTTTGTTATTTCCGACCGAGTTTCGAATGGTTTACACTTTTCGTGAAGAGAGACTAGAAACTAAAGTACGCCTGGTTTTAATTATTTCGAGTGGTGAAAGCCTATTTGTTTTAAGCGAAATCTCGCGACACTTATCTTTTTAATTAAAGGTGCGTTTGATTTGGTATTAGCATCAACAATTAGATATTGTTAATTGAACTTGAATGAAGATATTACTCCATTCAAATAGCAAAAAAAGTTTTTTCTTATCATATTTTTTTAATATTTTAAACTTTTCATGGCTCTTCTGTAACGTAGCAAAAATTTTCCCTTAATCCGAATAACCTTTCACTCCTCGATTCGATTAAATTGTCATTTTCATCAATTTCATGAAATATCTCCGTTTAACCCTTACATGCTATACTCTAGTCTGGTATTATAACTGATCAGTGGTTAGTACTGTAGAGCATTTTTAATACGCTTTCATTAGCTTCAGACGTATTTATTTATTAAATACTAGCTGACCCGGCAGACTTCATAGTGCCTCTATCGATAAATAAAAGACCTAAACTTTATTTAATTCCGAGCATTTTCATATTTATCTACCTTTTAAACCTTCTCTGGACTTCCACAAATAATTCAAGACCAAAATTAGCCAAATCGGTCCAACCGTTCTCGAGTTTAACGAGATTAACGAACAGCAATTCATTTTTATATATACCTATATAGACTAGCTGACCCGGCAGAGTTCGTAGTGCCTCAATCGAGAAATAAAAGACCTAAACTTTTGTATAAAATAAACTTAAAAAAAAACAAAAGGAATCCGTCCGACGTGGGACACATCAAAGGAAAATCAAAATTGTTATTTTTAGTTAATTCCGAGCATTTTCATATTTATCTACCTTTTAAACCTTCTCTGGAGCTCCACAAATAATTCAAGGCGAAAATTAGTCAAATCAGTCCAGCCGTTCTCGAGTTTTAGCAAGACTAACGAACAGCAATCCATTTATATATATATATAGATTATAGATAGATGAATGATTTACAACCCACATGGTGTCACATAGTATACAAATCACAACGTGAAAACCAATACCCTCTTGAAACACGAGCAGTCTAAATCTCATTTACAAATAAATATAAAAAATATATCTTCAAAGCTGAACGCATTACTGCTTCTCGGCAGAAACAGAAGAGGTGCTAGTATCTACCCATACGAGCTCATGTACATTAATTAAATTTATGGTAGGCAGTAAGTAGCTTGGCTATGCATTTGACATCAGTTCCCCTATATGCTCGTCCGCCTACAAGGGTAATATAAAATACCCACATTGAGTAATGTGCGCCGAGCTTCGAGTGGATTCTTCTCAGCAGTGAAACTGCATTTCGAATCGGCGAAAAAGTTCTCTGGATATTAAGTGCCAATGAAGGCCTTTTTTGTTAGTTTTTTTTTAACGCTGGGGAATCCGTTTACGTATACCCGGTCGAGAGGGGTAGCAGACCGGGTTATGTCGGACTCCTGCGCCTCCAGAGAAGAAGAGGAAGAAGAGGAAGACCAAAGTCCTCCTCTTCTTCCAA